GGTAGCCTGTAAGCGAGTACTAAAGACCCTGAGCACTAAAAACCGAGGTGACCCATACTGAAGGTGGCTGCCTGTAAATCAGTTCTAAAGTCAGGGAGTGTGTGCTAAGAAAGGTAACGTGCCAATTGAAATGGAAGAAATAAATGATTCTGGTCTCCCTGCTATAGGAAAGATGTTGTTAAAAGGGTGCAGAAGAGATTTACAAGGATGTTGCCAGAGGGTTTCAGCTATAGGGAGAAAGTGAGTAAGTTGGGGTTATTTTCCCTGGAGTATCGCAGGCTGGAAGGGGTTTATAAAATCATGCGGGGTAGGGATAGGGCAAACAGACAAGTTCTTTTCCCAGGGTATGGGAGTATAAAACTAGACAGCATAGGTTTAAGGTGAGAGGGAAAAGATTTAAACGGGACTTAAGGGGCAACTTTTTCACGCAGAGGGTGATGAATGTATGGAATGAGCTGCCTGAGGAAGTGGTGGAGACTTGTACGACTACAACATTTAAAAAGGCATCTGAATAGGTATATGAATAGGAAGGGTTTAGAGGGATATGGGCCAAATGCTGGCAAATGGGACTAGATTAACTTAGGATATCTAGCAGGGACAAGTTGGATGAAAGGGTCTGTCTCCGTGCTGTACATCTCTATGACTCTATGATTCTAAGCTGGGGGCTAAAAATTTCAGAATACCCAGTAGGATCTGTTTTTGTTTGTATCATGCTCTGGAGGAAGCAGCATTCGATGCCTGCATGTCATTTTACATAAATTTAACAAGCTGTGATCACTCTCAAATGCTCAGTCCTCATTCCGAATTACTCTATTTAAGGTCCGTTGACATGGACTGCAGTTTCAACAGTTTTAGAGCACATGCAAATGTTCATTTTCTTCTTGTAGGAATCATTGCTCTGGATGCCTCGATAGGTTCAAAATATGTTATTGGTGTTTGCGAAGCCGGGTTCTAAAGTGAAGGAAAAATGGAACTTAGTTTTGCGCTCTGGGAAGGTCTGACGTGTTTTCTGTTAAAATGTCAGAAAGTCACTTGAGCAGTGAATGCGAAACAGTACTTATGAAATGCCATATTATTTAAGATGAATGACCCACAAGCCACCTGGGGAGATAATTGCTAAGATGTTTGCTAACTAAGATGTTTTATGGCACCCAGAAAGAGAGAAGGAAGGGGCCAGAAGCAGGTTTGTAGAGGGAGAAGTGGCCAGTAACAGCAGATGTGCTGTTGGCAGCAATCCCCATGCAGCCAAGAGTAGAGAGAAATCCAGAGTTTCTTACAAATCAATGAAAATTGATTCTTCCTCCAGAAGCTCTAAAGGAACACATTCTACAAGCGTGTTGAAGGCATGAGTTCAGGGAACCCACTTGAAGTGAACTGAGTTAGCAGCTTGTTTAAAAATTCTTGGGAAGAGACATTGAGAAAAATAGCTTCAAGTGAATGCACAGAAATATACTGATAGGAAACAAATTACAATCATGCCAGCTCAGCAAGAACCTTTCGCATGAAAATAGGGGTGACTCTTCATTGAGTGTTGAGTGTTTGTCAAGTGTTTTTGTAAAGTGTGATATAGTTTGTGTTTTGTCTTTTGTTGGGTAAATAAATACATTGGCAGCCTTTTGTGAATATGTTCAGAGGTTGAGTTCACAGTAAACAGAAAAAAACTGCAGATACAGTCTATCAAGCCAGATTCCACTCTGGGATCTGACTTTTTGTGTATTACCATCAATTGAGATTACAACCGCAGATTTTAAACTGAGCTCAGGAAGTAGGGAAAACCATGCCATATAGATCACTATCTCTTTGTCTTCAATTTTCATTGACGTCACTGATAAGTTCCGTCACTTTGAAACTGATCACTAAATCCAGCCTTTCTGGCCACAAGATTTCTGTGAAACAGAACTGATGATGTTGGCTCTAGTTTATTTTTTTTTGTCTTGGGATTTGCTTACATCACTGTGTGGGTTGAAATATATGAAGCCTCTTGTACATTGAGGCCTACCTTCAAGAAGGCTTCAGCAATAAATCTTCTAAATTTCCCTCTGGTAATTCAACTATAGTGTCCTGATAGAGAAGCAAGTGTGGATCCTCCAGCCTCACACAATAACTGGCTGTTTTAAATACATACACGATTTGAGAGACTATTGCTTGGGCCACCTCCCGGGAGCACAGTTCGAACAGCATGTAAACAAAGCTATGTTCACGAGTAATCATAGGGACACTTTTGTTGTGATCTATTTGGATTTTCAGAAGGCCTTTGACAAGGTGCCACACAGGAGACTACTGAAAAAGATAACAGCCCATGGTGTTAGGGGCAAGGTACTCACATGGATAGTGGATTAACTGACTGGCAGAAGGCAGAGAGTGGAATAAAGGAGTCTTTTTCAGGATGGCAGTCAGTGACTAGTGGAGTTCTGCAAGGGTCAGTGTTCGGACCACATGTATTCATGTTTTACATTAATGATTTGGGCAAAGGAACTGAGGGAATTTTTGCTAAGTTGCAGATGACACAAAGACAGCTGGAGGGGCAGGTAGTGACACAAAGATAGGTAGAAGGACATGGACAGGCTGGGTGAGTGGGCACATAAGTGGCAGATGGAATAAATGTGGGAAAGTGTGAGGTTATGCACTTTGGTAGGGAGAATAGCCATGTAGACTATTTTCTAAACAGGGAAAGGCTTCAGAAATCAGAAGCACAAAGGACTGAGAAGTCCCAGTTTAGGATTCTCCTGAAGTTAGCATGCAGGTTCAGTTGGAAGTTAGGAAGGCAAATTCAATGTTAACATTTATTACAAGAGGGCTAAAATACAACAGCAGGGCTGTACTGTTGAGGTTGTAGAAGGCTCTGGTCAGACTGTATCTGGAATATAAAGAAGTTTTGGGCCCCATATTTAAGGAAGGAGGAGGTTTACAAGAATGATCCTGGGGATGAGGACTTGAAGTATGAGTAGCAGTTGAGGACTCTGGGTCTCTACTCGATTGAGTTTAGACGGATTGGTAGGGGGTAACCTCATTGAAACTTACAGAATACAGAGAGGCCACGATAGAGTGAATGTGGAGACGTTGTTTGCACTAGTTGGAGAGACTAAGAATTGAGGGCACAGCCTCAGAGTGAAGGAATGATCCTTTAGAACTGAAATGAGGTGGAATTTTCTTCAGCAAGAGGGTGATGTATCTGTGGAACTCATTGCTGCAGACAGCCGTGGAGGCCAAGTCATTGAGAGTATTTAAGACAGAGATAGATGGGTTCTTCATTGGTAATGGAATCAAGGATTATGGGGAGAAAGCAGGAGAATGGATCTGAGAAATGGCCCAATTCTGCTCCTATATCTTATCGTCATGCCTTTGTCGGAAGAGACTAATATTGATTGCACTTGTCCTACACTTAAAAAACACAAAATGTTTACATTTTTAGATGATTATTTAAAAATTAAACATCTTTAAGTCTTATGCCCACCTTAATATAGTGACTATTGTGCACTCTTGCCATTTTTTGGAAAGGTTAAATTTTCTTTAGCTCCGATTAGGTTATTTCGGGAAGAGGATGTGACAAAGCAGTGGAGACATACCAAAATCTGCAATACTTATTTTGAAAGGTTTTCTCACAAGATAGATAGCTAACATTGGAACTAATGCCAATGACAGATGAAAAAGAACTGAAGCTGATTCATCAAAGGGACCCTTATAGACACAATGAGGACAGATCATTTGGGTTTTGGTTGAAAAGTCCCTTAAAGAAGTAATCATCCTTCTGATGTTTGAGGCTATGTAGTCATATCATAAACTCTATATTTGTGGTATACAAAGTGCACATTTATAAGCAAACACAGGTTTAAAAAGCAAATCAATAGGCATATAAGCAACAGGAAAATGCAACTAGCAGTCAGGGTAACATGTAAACGGGTGGGGAAATTTAACAAGGCCAATTATTGGGTACAGGGAATATTACCCTGCCCTGAAAGGAGTGATACAAGCAGCAAGCAAATCAGGAGTGCAGAATTGTTTGAAGTTTACATCAAAGAATGATAGCCTGCAACTTAAAAGGGGAGGTAGAATCTAGTTGTTGCAAGTGGCTGGGAAAGGCGTATCAAGTGGGGAAAAAATCTGTTGGAACAGGTGCAGCTGGCCAGAGAGAAGAGATAGAGAGTCCTGAGGTCCTCCACTGCAATGCTGGAGGCCACAACACAGGATGTGGGAAGGAGGAGAGCAGGCTCCAATTCTCCCTCACACACTTCCCATTGCTGCAAGTCCCATGTCCATATCTCACAGCTTCACTATTCAGCTGTGGCAGGGAGATCAAACAAACACATTGCTCCAAACTCCCTGACTCTTTTCCAATTAGCTTGCAGGACAAGTTGGTCCACAATAGGAGGCAGCAAAGAACCACTGTGGAACAGCAGGCATGTCTATATATCCTCAGTCCCATGGAGAGGATGGTGTTTGGAATTAATTCTGCGGCAGCAAAGTCAAAGTCAAAAGTACATGACTTGAAAATTGAATGGTGATATCATTAAATAACATTGAACAGAGACGGTATGGGATAGGGGAGGGCTCCAAGTGCAGCTGAACACATGGTCAGCTTGGTGCATGTTTAAGAGAGGACATTAGCAGGACTGACAAGGTTCTAAAGGCTAAGTCAGTTGCCAATGCAGTATTTGACACTGAATGGCACAATAATCTGTCCAATTAAATGGGTGCAAGGTACCAGACAGAATTATCCTTCAAAACAGGGCAGCTGCAGTCAGATACTGGAAATCAATTGGACAGGGATTCCTCTCCCACACCCCCCAAATGCCTTTACCCTGGTTCCATTAACACACAAACCCTACATAGCCAACATTTCTCGCAGAACTTTGATATATTGGTTGGAGTAAATGATTTTGTTTAGTGCAGAGAAATATTCATTATATGAGGTTGTTGTCCATATTGGTATACAATTAATGAAAAATTACAGAGCACCACATTGTGCTATTGTTTTAAATAATTCCAAGAAAGAGACATACATCGTTTGTTGCTTGGTCGGAGGTCTTCTACTTTGTACACTGACAATCTGTTCACTCCACCACAGACTGTGTGCTTTTCCCCTTTACACTCCATGTTGCAATCCTCCTGCCTTGCACTGCTTGAAGTAATTCGATTTCCGCAGTAACATTCTGCACCATATTCCAGACCAGCGTACAGGTAACCTCTGTAGAAAGAAATCTGCTTCAGATCACAAACCAAGTAACACGATGAAGACAGTGCTTGAAAATGCTCTGATCCTAACGACTGCCTCACGTGGGAACAGAGGTGGTGGGTGTCCCAGATGGAAACAATTAAAGAACAAGCAAGACTTTGAAACGAAGGTACAAGTTATACTGCACCTCCATTTTGAAGTATAAACAGAAATTGGACTGGTACATCTCATTTGCCAGATTTGCTGTTTTTTGCTTTTCTAGGTTAGAGCTATACATTACCTGCTGGTGTTTCAGTTTCCCAGCCTCAATCTCTCTCAGGAAGTGAGGTAAAAAGGGTAAGTATACACATTCCTCCCAAGTGCCAACTCATCGGGTTTACAGGCTTTTTAAGGCCTGTTGTCAAAGGCTGACTGGGATTTTCCAGTCTGTCTCCAGGTTCTGTCAGGCAGCAGGCTTGGGGAGGCAGTGGGGGCATCATTCTTGTCAGACTGGGCTTGGCGACAGACTGAGCCACACACACACACACACACACACACACACAGAGGGAGGCCTCCCAACATTGTATTGTAAAAGTAAATTTTAAAAAAAAACACGGACCTCCATTTTGGGAACACCCAAGGCCTGACGAACCTGCCACGGCTCACTGCTGCCTCCTCTTGGTCCTCCAGTTTCGAAAGCCTGTCTGCCACCTTTAATAAGTCTGGTCACTAATGCGCAAATTTGTGCAGAATCACAGGTGAGTGACTGTTTCCCACACTGTCTGCGCTCCTGACCTCTCTTACGCCTGACAGCAGGGTTCAGATGCTCAGAGAGAAAACCCGGTGCTAGGCCTTCAGCTCTGTCGCTGACCACGCTGAAGTTGAGATAGTTGAAACCGAGAGGCATATTCAACCTTTTCATCTCATTGAGATTCTGCAGGGGAGGGGTGGGGGAGTTGCTGAACAAAGTGCCTGCTTGGAGGAGTCTCCCTTCGTGTTGGAATCTAGAGCTTAGCAGCACAGTTTCAAAATGAGGCATCCCTCAAAGGCTCATGAATATTGGAATTCTCTCCCATAGAAGGCAATGGAGGCTGTCGTTGAATATTTTCACGGTTGAGCATCACAGGTTTTTGATTGAATGAATATTTTCGTGGGGTGGGGGTGAAGAGACAGGAGAGTGGAGTTGAACTCACATTCAGACATGTCAAGATCTTACCAAATGATGGATTTTGATTTGATTTATTGTTGTCATGTGTACCTAGGTACAGTGAAAAGTTTTGGTTTGCATGCAGTTCAGGCAGGTTATGCCATAAAAAGATCATTGAGGGATAGAACAGAGTGAGGAATTCAAAATTACTGCTGCAAGGGAGGTGCACAAAGAGCAAGATTAACATTAGATTTGAAATTTGAGAGGTCCATTCAGAAGTCTAACAGTGGGGAAGATGTTCTTGACCTTGTTGGTACGCATGTTTAAGCTTTTGTATTTTCAGAACAGGCTCAAGAGGCCAACTAAACAAAAAACGAAAGAACTGCAGATGCTGTGAATCAGGAACAAAAACAGAAGTTGCTGGAAAAGCCCAGCAGGTCTGGCAGCATCTGTGAAGGAAAAAACAGAGTTAACGTTTCGGGTCCGGTGACTCTTCCTCAGAACTGGAAAGACAACGGTCTACCTTTGCTCCTACTTTTTTTATGCCTCTTTGTCAAGTAAATTTTCTAATCATTCAGCCCAAAATGAAAAATCCATCAAATTGAATCACTTTGTTGCAATGCATCTCTAAATGCTCAACTCCCAATCAGAAAGTTGAGGGGTTTGGTTTCAGGGCACCTTGCGACATGAAAGTCTTAACCATCATCGGCAGAGTACTCAGCACTGAAATTTTGAAAGGAGAAGAGGGGATCCAAAAATCATTTCAGAAAACCTGGTTTACTAACTAACCTAACATCATTTCAGCAGGGCCCAAAGCATAAATCGCTAAGGAACAAGAGTAAGGAAGAAATGTGGACATACCAAAAAAAGAGGATGTAAAACAGATTATAAAACACAGATATGACAGCGGTGAGATTTTCCCTTACCTTTCTGCACAACTGTCTTGACATTGGGAAACTGTCATTTTTCGAAAGTCATAAAACACTGCTCCTTTCAGAGCTTTCTCCTTTGATTCATCTCTGAAACATCCTATGTGTGTGGCTGAAAAACACAACAAAGTCCTGCATTACATTATACGTGGTGTCTTATCACTGCTTGACAATGTTTTGGATTATTGGTTTCCAGCAACAGTACATATCATACAATTAAAATGTAATGCTGATACTGAACTCCACTCAACTGTTGGTTTTCAGTCAGATTTCACAGACTCAACTGATCATTTGTTTTGAATGCCTACAATTGCCTTGGGTTATTCAAAATAATGCTTAATTTTGGTGAATATAGAAGACATTAGAGCTGATGAACATGCCATATGGCCTTTCACTGTCAATGAATTGGATTTTGCTTCCCCAGTGCTATCAGTTTGTTTCCAGTGCACTTACACTTGGCCACAGCCATTGCCAGCGCCCTCTGCAGGGAATCTGGGTCTTACGCAGCTTCTTAACCAATCAGATTGAAAAATTATTCATGAGGAGACGAGAATCATTGTCAGAAATTGCATGTTGAAACATTTAAAAGAACGTCATAACAAATATTTCATTAAATGTCAAAACAAAATAAAGAGCAGCATCAAAAGATGTGATGAAGAATGAAATATCTTTATTTTTACTGTTTAAAAACTCCAGTAATAACTAAAATCTGAAATCTTACTGAAATATATAGAATCTTGATTGAAGTGACAGGTGGAAACTGAGATGATGTTTGCTTTCCTCATGGGAGAGACTGGAATGAGACAGTTTAAAACTAAACGCTCGCCCAATCAAATTGGTGAGGAGATTTTTTTGTCCTCGCAGTGGGTCAAGGATCTAATTCTGTTCCTCAAAAAACAGTGGGGAAGCAAGGTCATTGAATATTTTTAAGTACCTTAGATGGTTCTTGGCTGATGTAAGTCAAAGGGTATACATGTTGACAGGAAAATATAGATGAGGCCACAACTAGATCAGAGATAGTCCTGTCAAATGGCAGAGCAGGCTCAACAAGCCTCCTCCTGCTCCAAATTTGTGTGTTGAAGTAATGAGATTCCAAACTTTCAAATATTTATTTCCAGTACTGGAGGATTTTTTGGCAAAAAAAAACCCAACCATTCCATTCAGAGATAGTAGGAACTGCCGATGCTGGAGTCTGAGGTAACAAGGTGGAGAACTGGATGAACACAGCAGGCCAGGCAGCATCAGAGGAGGAGGAAAGCTGACGTTTCGGGTCTGGACCCTTCTTTTTCTGAAGAAGGGTC